TCATGCAGTCTGCAGAGCTAAGCATTCAGGAGTCATAAGCAAGGGAGACTGCCACTCTGAGAACCAGAGAGGAACCAAGGCAGGCTCGAGCTTTTTTTTAATGAACTTACACTTTCTTTTAGGAGGACTGATTCTTTCACCTTCTTTTTCTCCTCTGCCCAGATCAGCCCACCTCAGACTCTGACCACATTCATTTTTAGACCACTTTTCTCATGATGGTACGCCAATAAATTGTAGCTTAAATCCTTTTCTAATGTAAGGTATTAAAGAAGAAAGTTTTACAAAGAGGCTGCTTGAGAGAAAATGACCATTGAAGACGGTGCTAGATAACTCTCAGAAATAAACATTATGGCTGTTTCTGCTGGTTTCCTCCTGTTGGAACTGGAGTTCAGCAAACCTTGATTGTAACTTCCTCCCTGGAAAGCTCCTTATTAGGCCCCGTTTGGACATAAAGTGGCAGGCACATTCTATGCTGTCATGGACCAGTTGGGCACTGTGCTAAGCACCTCATTCCCATTATGTTTCTTATCTGCTACGTCGCCATGCGAGTATCATTGTGTCTTTTATTCATGAAGAATATGAGACTGACAGAATCATCCACCTAATGCAGAATGTTAATATGTGACTGCAGTGGAGTCCAAACACTTGCCTCTCTGGTTAACTCCAAAGCCCTCTGCTCATCAGTTCATTCACTCATTAAAGCATTCCTTCATCCATTTGACAAATATTTATTGAATGTCCACTTTGTACTGAACACAGGAGACTTAAAGACAACTAAGAAGATTCTTAGGAAAAAGTACTTTCCTAAGTACCCTACGTGCCTTGGCTCAAACTCATTGACCATTCATTGGTCTCTAGTCTTGAGGAAAGTAGGAGATGAGTTCAGGTGCAAGTATGAGCAGGTAGGTTACAAGGAGAAGACAGACGAGACTGGGAGACCAGGAGGCAACAGTACTGTTGTCTGTGATGACTGTGTGGAGCCTCAGGAATGCAAAGCTCCCTCAGTAGCTCGGTAGCCTCTTCAGCAAAGATTCAGAGCTGTTACAGGTTAGTTAAGCCACAGACTGTAAAGATTTTGCCCAGTTTTGAGGGTGTTAGGGGCCTTGGTTACACAGTTAATCTCCATAGTTCAAGCCCCCATGAGATCATCCTAAGGGAGTTCCTGAACATGACAGAGAAGCACTCTGAAGAAGCACTTGGTAGAGGATTCCCCAAGAAGTGGGGTCAGGTCAGAGAACACCATTTGGTAACCTGCTGTGACCCTGCATTGTCCCACAGCACTAATGGGAACACAGGCATGGGCTCTGTGGTTCTCTGTCACCTTAAGTACAACTTTGATGTGGTTTGGGGTAGGACACGAGATGGCTGATCTTTGGAGCTAGGTTCTTTTCCTGTTGCTTTAACTCTGTTTATTCACTGAAGGTCAGTGTGTTTCCCATAGTATCTCCAGGTCTTGTGAAATTACAGTCTCAGTAAATGTAAGCTGATCGTTATAGAGAAATCCACTCATTTTATGTGTCTAAAAATATGAGTCACTTCACTAATTGTACATTGCATCATTGAAGTGTGACACACAGAGCAATCAGCATGATTCCAGAGGAACAAAGCAAACTAAATTATATGCTGCGCTAGTCCTAGAGACGTTCCATTATTGTGTGGTGCTAAAAACATGGGAACTAAACTAAACTTTAGTTTGGTTCTAACTTTTTGAAGTTTAAATTGTTCTTTGACAGTTTCACACCTGTATATAACACATTCTGGTCACACCCAGCCCCCACCCCACCTTCTCTTCTCCCCCTCCCACTGCTACCAACACTCCCTCCTCTCACCAAGTCCACAGCCCACTTTCATGACCCTTTGTTATTTTTGCTATGTACAATGTTGATACATCTCAGTCTCAAATGGCTGCAACAAGGCAGGGATGGAAACTGTGAATCTGGGTGGTTCTCAAGGAAGGATGTGTAGGGAGAGGTTTACTTAAATAGTGTAGGGCTTGCCAAGCATGCGCAGGTCCCTCCCTGAGTTTGATCCCCCACAGTTCACAATATTAGTTAGAAGGTTTGAAGTGAAGGAAGGATGTGCTGGCCCTTTTGTCTGCAATAGCCTTGAAACCTCCATGATTGATTCCTCCTGATTCCTCTCCTACCTCCATGACAATTTTTCTTCTCTTAAATTCATTCATTCAGTCCTAAAATGCAAAAGTACCAAGATTTGTCCTTGAGGCCATATGACTTTCTGTCTTTACTCTCAGTTCATAATCTCTTTTGACATCGGGGCCTCATGCAGTTGTTTGTAATCAATATCCAAAAATGTACTTCTTACCCCCTCCTGAGGTCACCTTATCCATTTCTGCTGACCCACACAGCCTGCTGCCACCTCAAATTCAGTTGCTGTCACAGCCCAGCACCTTATCCTCTCCTATCGTCTCTCTCTTTTGGAGCTAGCCTCCTGTAACTATGGAACACCCAACTTGCCTTTCAACCACTTGTGAAGATGTTTATTTTTCTCTCTATAATCACCTTTGCACTTTTCCTCTGTTTTCTTTTGCTTCTATTTTTATTTCAAGGCCTTGTTTCTTCTGACCTGACATTTGGAGGACTTGGATTTCCTAGACATTTAACTTTTCTAAGGCTTCATGATACTATGCCCTCCCAAACACAAGAGTCTCGATATACAATGCATACTAGTCAGTAACAGCATAGTTTCGCTTTTGAAGTCTTCCTTCATCAGCAAATGCTAACAAGAAAGAACATAAATCTGCTTTATCAAATTCTGCACCTCCATATTATGTTTATTCATTAACACGAAAGACCAAATAGAGTAGGTGAAATAGCTTCGGTGCAACACAGACACAAGACTTTAACCACATTCTTTTAGCCTTACGTGAACTGTGTGTTACATCCCTGAAGCAGATGCTGCTCTCAAACTAATTCTCATAATGACTTTTTGCAGGATCTTGTACCCAAACTAGAGATTGTAAAGTAAAATCACAGAGTTCCAAACTTGTCATCCTTTCCTTCATCATTAGAGAAGTAAATCTATACATATATATTTTGGCAATCATTGGTTCCAAGGCAAATTTCCATGTAGGAGAGAACACATCATTCTAAAGTTTGCGCAGGGTGGTGGCTGCCTTAATGCCAAGCACTCCAGAGGCTGAGGTAGGTGGATTATGGATTCAAAGCCAGCTTGGACTGCACAGTGAGACCTCAAAAGATCAACAGAAATATTATTTCTAAATACCTCTTTTAAGACACTAAGTGCCCTTGCAGAGTACCCAGGTTTGATTCCCAGCACCCACATGGTGCCTAACAACCATCCATAGGTCCAGTTACAGGAAGATCTGACACCTTCTTCTGACCTCCGTGGGCATTGCATGCCACGGGTGCACTTACATACGTGCAGGCAATACAGTCATATACATAAAATAAAAGTAATAAATAAAATATTTTTAAAATACAACAGCAATAATAGCAATAATACCTAAAAAGAGAAAATGTTCTCTCTTCATTAAGATTACACTGCACAATATGCAGAAGAGCTAGAAGAGATTTTTAAATCCTTTCTGATCTTTTCAGTAGAGTATATAGAGTTATACATTAAAAAGTGCGCCTTTTCCCATCCCATGTCTGTGTGAACGAGCTTTCAAAGATTCTCTTGCTCAAGCAAAAATATCAAATTAATAATTATCAGTCCTTTCCTAAAATTCTTTCATTGGCCCCTAAGTCCACTGATCCACTGTGAAGGGGGTGAAGGAGAGGAAAGGGGGATAACAAACTGTCCTGTTGTTTCTGTGCCTCAGGTAGCAACAACAGATAAAGGCCCTGAGCCAGCTCAGGCCACCACCAAGTGCACTGTGGCAGAGAATCCACAGTGGTGATGTAGCATCTTATCATCCAACTCCTGTGGGAATATCCAGAGCTTTGTAAATTTTATACTAACTGGAAGAGGGGTAAGAAGTAGGGGTAGCCAGTCTTACAGTTTGTGGCACTATTATTAACTTAACCCTAATAAGAAGTTCCCTTTCCTACCACAACCCCTGATGATAATGAATGAGCAATCAAGATTTAGGGACAATCTAAAATAGAAGCGTTGATTGTGAGAGAATAAGAATGCACAGATAGGTCCAAACCCCAGCATCTCCCAGACAGCCACTGGGACTGTCAGGAGTGAAATTAACCAGAGCCAAAGAAGGGACATGGAGAAGAAAGGACCAGGAAAACCAGAGGGGCCTCTTCTATTTCAGCAGGAGCTTGCACGTGTGATCCGTCTCAGGAGCCAAGCTGAGCAAGGAGAAGCTGTGGGGGAAGGGACAGCAGGGCATGGACCCTGAGGTCCAGCATGACTCACTATTAAGCTGTTACCCAAATTGAAGTATTTCAACACCTGAGAAGTGCTCATTATACTTAGTGCCATAGTCATGGAATTTGAGTTACAGAAAGATTCTTTCCAGGAAAAATGGAGCCCTGGAAAGATAATATTGAAAAGATGGTTGAGGATGTGGTCTGTGGTGCCAAATCAACATAGTTTGAATATAGGGTAATCATCAGATCAGTAGCTCTATGGGAGATAGGGAACGCTGAGCCACAGCGCCCTAAGTATATAAAATGGGGATACCAAGCCTGCCCCAAGGATTCCCGCGGATATTTGAGATAATTCGCACTTTTCTCCATCTGGCTTGCTGTGCATTTTATCTCCTTTTCCTGCCCATTCCCCCTGACAAATGAATTCCTAGAAGTAAACATTCTGGGCTGTTTTGCTCCAGCTATGTTCCTACTGCCTAGAACAATTCCTGGAAAGTCACTGTCAGAACGCGATGGTGATTAGCACCACCACCAAATGCTGTGAATAGTTGGAAACAATGGCATTAGAAAAGAATGTCAAAATGCAGTATCCAAGGAAGTCCATGTGGGCACTTACAGTTGTTGGTTTTGTTCTATTATGACAGTTAATAAATGTTCTTGCTAACCATCTTCTTGAAAATGTCTTGTTTTCTTCAGTGGAGAAAAAAATTTTCATATTTTTTACTACATTTATGCTGGTTTGGCTGAAAAGAAGAAACTGGCCCTTTATAAACTGCCTGAAAATAAGCCTCCAAGGTGAGCATCCTTGCTGTATGTTGATGCTTTGTCTTGTGGTGTGACTTCAGACTCCTATCCTTCCTTCCATACGTGTTTCAGGTACCTCCAAAATGACCACCTGCGAACAGTGCAGGACATGATGAACAACAGTTTCTACAAATCCCAGTGTGAACGAATTGAGCAGTGCTTCAAAGTCATAGGTTTTACAATGGAGGTAAGTGCCAAAGACATTCAAACACTTTCATAAGTATCTTTTAGTCATCAGCAATGATGGGAGTTAGCTAATTTACTGAGAGATTAATGTATGCCAGGCCCTGTGCTCACTGCTTTGTATAGCATCCACTCCTGGGGTTTTAAAGTATAGAGTCTGGATGTGTCTGTGTGGCTGTGTGTGTGCCTATGTGTGTGTCTGTGTATGTCTGTGTCTGTGTGTCTGTGTGTATGTGTGTGTCTGTATGTGTGTATTTTGTGTGCCTGTGTGTATTTGTATGTCTATGTGTATGTGTGTATGTGCATGTGTCTGTGTGTATTTATGTGTGTTTGTGTGTATTTGTGTGTGTATGTCTGTGTATGTGTCTATGTGTCTGTATTTGTGTCCATGTGTCTGTGTATGTTATGTACACTTGTGCATACAGGTCCATGTGGAGGCCCAGATAGAAACATCAGATGTTTTTCCTTGCACACTCTACATATATGTTTTTGAGAACCAAAAGCTCATCAGTTCAGCTGGTCTGACTAGCAGATGAACATCAGGAATCTGGCTGTCTCCACCAGCCTCCAGCACAAGGCCAGGCCTAGGTTACTGCCAGGTTTTTTATGTGGTTCTGAGAATCTGAACTTGTGTCCCCTTGCTTGTTACAGGTAACTTACTGACTGCCAATTCCTCAGTCCCAGTCTTTTACCATGTTTCCAATTCTTTCTTTGTAACTACCTATTCATATTTCTTCTGTTCCATTTGAGTTACTTGGATTAACATCGCATTTGATGCCATACGTTTGTTGAGTTTTCTTATGATATTTTAAATTTTTCATGTATCTCTTGCTTTATTCCCTTCTAAAAATTTTGTTTTGCTTTTTTATTTCTTATAGCTAACATGCAAAGCAGTGGGAAGATCTGTAGCACTTTCATGAGTACACATCACGGCCCTTGCTTCTTATTTGCCCACTTGCTGAGCGCCCCTTCCCTCAGCTCATAGTCCCCATCCTCCGTCCTCCTCCCCAATCACCCTCCTCTGGCCTTTATGTCACATGCATTCCGCTGCCCTCTTGGTTGCCTGTTACCTTCCTTTAGACATTGTCTCCCTCCTCTCACAGCCCTCTTTCTGCTTACATGTTTCATTCAAACACAGATATGTGCGTGTATGTTTTTAGAAATTTTAATCCAGATTGTATATATGACAGAAAGCATGCAATATTTTGTCTTTCTGAGTCTACCTTATTTTTCTTAACATGATAACCATCCATTTTCTTATAGATTTCATGATTTGATTCTTTGTGACAAGGAATCAAATTTCCATTGTGTGTATATACAGTGTTTTATGCATTCATCGGCCCCTGGTCTGGTTCCATATACTGGCTATAGTGCATCATATCTGAGTATCTCTCTGGTATGCTGACTTAGAATCCTTCATATCTAGATCACATGGTAGCTCTGTTTTTAGTGTTTTTTAAAAAAAAATTATTTATTTATTATTTTCATTTTATGTGTGTGTATTGCCTGCATGTAGATAAGTGCACCCATGTTGTGCAATGCCTGCAGAGGACAGAGAGGTTGTCAGGTCCCCTGGAACTGGAGTTATGGACAGTTGTTAGCTTCGATATGGATGCTGGGATTCAAACCCAGGTCTTCTGCATGAACAACCAGTGTTCTTAACTGCTGAGCCATCTCTCCAGCTCCAGTTCTTAGTGTTTTGAGGAACATCCATACTGATAGCTGCTTTACTTTCATTCTCAACGAGATAAGATGGAATATCAATATAGTTTTAACGTGCATTTTCCAATAGCTAAGAATGTTAAACATTTTTTCAAATACTTATAGACCATATGCACTATTTCTTTTGACAACTTATTCAAAACTATTCTAGTTTGATTTTTGTTGCTAGGATGAAATACTGACTAAAAGCAATTTGGGGAGGAAAGGGTTCATTTTATCTAACATCCCCCAGGTCATCGCTCATCACTGAGGGAAGTCAAGGCAGGAACTCAGGGCAGAAACCTGGAGGCAGGAGCTAAAATCCAGACCATAGGGGAAACTGCTTACTGGCTCTCTCCCCTGGCCCCTGCTTAGCCTGCTTTCTTATACAACACAGGACCACCTGCCCAGGGGTGGCACCACCCACCCTGTGGGCTGGGCCCTCCCACATCATTCAACAATCAAGAAAATGCCCCACAGGTATGACCTCAGGCCAGTCCAATGGAGAAAATTCCTCAGTTGAGGTTCCCTCTACCCAAGTGTGTCAAGTTGACAACTGATGCTACCTACAACTGACTTCGTGTCAAACTTGACACACAAATACATCACTATTATACCACAATTTTTCTCCACAATTGTTCCATTTCTTGTCCCCAAGATATGTTAATATTAATATCATAATATAGTGGTAGTTTAACTTTAAAAAATTACACACACACATATATATATATATATATATATATCAGCTTCAAAAGTCCTATGGTCTTTTAAAAATTTAAACACTTTAAAAGGTCAGTCTCTTAAAAATGTTGTTAACTGTGGGCTCCTGTAAAATTCAAAACAAATTACAAACTGTCTTATTTCAAAAGGGAAGAAGTGGGCACTTAAGTGAAACCAAAGTCCAGTAATGTACCTCAGTGTTGGACACCTGAGATACACGCATGATCTCACTCTGAAGAGCTTGTGCAGCTCTGCTTCTCTGACTCCGACTCTAACATCTGCACACACAGCTGGTCTAGTAGGTTCAAGTGAGCTCCATTCCACACCCGACACTGCCCTTGGTGGTCGTCCCATGGTCCTGGCATCTCCAACATGCTGGGGTCTCCACTGAAATTGAACCTGCACTCTCATTAATGGCCTCTCAAGGTGCCAAGCCTCAGACTGCACCCTCAGTTGAAAAATCAGCTGTAACAAGAGATCAGTGTCATTGAGTCAAATGATGCCTGAAACTGAAGCTAAATTCACTAGTCTATTTATTTATTTGTGTTTTACATTGAATTTTTATAGCTCTACAAATTCTAGATACTAGGCCTGGTCTAGTGTGCAGTTGGCGATTTTTTTCCTCTTCCATTAGCTGTCTCTTTGCTGATTTTCTTTGCTATACAGAGATTTTTTGTGTCATGTAATCCTACTTGCCAGTTTATGGGTTATTTCCTGTGCTATTGGAGTCTTTTTTCATAAAGTTTTTGGTACGTCTGTGTCTAAACATGTTTTGTCTAGATTTTCCTTTAGCAGTTTCAGAATTTCAGATCTTAGTCCATTTTAAATTGATTTATGAGCAGGGTAAAAGATAAAGATCTGGTTTTATTTATTTGCATGTGGATGTCTGGTTTTTCCAGGACCATTTGAAGAGGGTGTCTCTTGTCAAATGTTGACACCTTTGTCAAAAATTAAGTATCTGTAGCTGGTGAGTTTATTCTGAGAACTCTGTTCTGTTCCACTAGTCTGTCTGCTTTCTGTGCAGGCCATGCAGTTTTTCTTACTATGGCTCTGTAGTATAATTTGAGGTCAGTGCCTTACCTTTTCTGCTTACAGTTGTGCTAGTTACTCGGGGCGTCTTCTGCTTCACTCTGAATTTTAGGATTGATTTTCCAAATTCTGTGAGAATGTCAATAGAATTTTTAGGGAGATTGTGCAGTTCAAAAATTGTAGATTTTTGAATAGACCATTTCACAATATTAATTGTGCCCATCCATGATCATGGGGGATCTTTTCATCTTCTAACATCTTATTCAATTTCCTCAGTGCCTGGAAGTTCTAATGGTAGAGATCTTTTTCCCCCTTGGTCAGATTTACTCCTAAGTATTTTATGTTTGCTTTCTTGAAGTTACTATGAATGAGATTGTTTTGCTGATTTCTTCCTTGCCAGGTTGGTTATTGGAGTATAGAAAAGCTATTGATTTTTCTATATTGATTTTGTATCCTGCTGCTTTGCTGAAAATGCTTATCAGATCTAAGAGTTCACTGGTAGAGTCTTTAGAATCTTTTAAGGGTAGGATTGTGTTGTGTACTAATAAGAGCAATTTATATCTCTTTTACTTCTTTATTGTTGTGTGTGTGTGTGTGTGTGTGTGTGTGTGTGTGTGTGTGTATCTGTGCCACAGCGCACATGTAGAAGTAGAGGTCAAAGGAAAACCCCAATGGGAGTCTTGACCTTCCATATTGTTTGAGGCAAGATCTCTCTTGTTCATAGCTAGCTGCATGGCTATCTCTTGGGAAACAGAATAAGGAAGATCACAAGTTTGAGCCCTGCCTAAACTATATAATGAGACCGTGTCTTGAAAAAATAAATAAATAAAACAGGGCTAAGGAGATGGCTTAGCAGGTAAGACACTTTCTGTGTAAGAAACAAGTAAGATAATATGTAAGACCACTTGCTGTGCAAGAGAACCTGAGTTCAAATGCCCGGAACATGTTTAAAACACCATGTGTGGTCATGGACCTATAATCCCATTACTGTAAGAGGCAGGCGCAGGAGAATCACTGGGGCTTGATGGACATCAGCCTAGTTTCAGATTCTGTGAGAGATCTAGTCCCAGTAGAGTAAAGTTCAGAGTGGTAGAGCAGGACAGTGGACAACAGCTGATGTTCTTCTCTAGTCTCCACACATACACCTGGACACATGTACACACGTTCGTATGCACTATACATGTATACCACACACAAACAAATAAATCAATACTAGTATTTCTGGAGCTCTGTGTGTGTGTGTGTGTGTGCATGCGTACGTGCGTGCGTGCGTGCGTGTGTGTGTGTGTGTGTGTGTGTGTGTGTGTGTGTGTTTGGCATAAAGAAAAGTTGGCCACTGAGAGCATTTTCTCCAAATAGGGACTTCTGCTGTTGTAGCTCTGGTAAAAGATAACCTCTCAGACCTGCCTTCTCTTTAAAATTTTTTTACTCCATTCTGAATATTTTTGATACAGGCTTATGGGAGGCCATTCTTAAAACCTGGCCCCTAGGAATGACATTTGATCTCTGCCAGCTGGCTTAGAGGTTAGAGTAAAAGAATAGGATAAATTTTTT